TTCCTTTCCCGCCAGATTCTCCGACACGACCAAGAAAAGACCAAGAGGCCCCAAGCCCGGCGAGGTTTGGCAGGTTTGGCGCTGGGGAGGGAGCGAGCTGGCGCGAAAAGGCGTCGCTGGGCACTGGGCGGAGGCTGGGCAGGAGTTCCTTTAGCTGGGCTTTAACTGGGCTTTTAACTGGGCTTCTAGCTGTTCAAGGCCTTTTTAACTAGGTTCCGCGGTCTTTTTAACTGGGCTTCCGGCGGTTAGTTAAAGGCCTAGTTAAAAGGGCTCAGTTAAAAGCCCGCCGCCCGCTACTGACCTGCCTGGTGCCCAGCGTGCTTTTAACTAAGGGCAGGGCGCCTTTAGCTAGCTCCAGTTAAAGGCCCAGTTAAAGGCTTAACTAACTCCAGTTAAAGGCCCAGTTAAAAGGCTTAACTGAGGGCAGCAGCCAAGCTCGCCCAGGCGCCGAGCCCCTTGGCGCGGACAGGGTCGCCCGGAAGTGGAAAAGGTGGCGTCCATCTCTTGCTCTCGCGTTGGTCTTGAGCTGGTTTGGCGCGGCAGGGCAGGGCGGCGGTCGTTCTCCCGCCGTGAGACGCTGCGAGCAGGGCAGGTCTTGGTTGGCTGGTTGGTGGTGGTGATGGCGAGGGTGCTGCAAGAGCCGTGTAGCAGAGACAACGCGAGACGAGACGAGGAAGAGGAAGAAGAAGAGGAGAGAAGAAGAAGAGAGAAGAAAGAAAGCGAGAGATGGAAGCGAATTCGAGAGCAAGAGATCAGCAATTAGTCAGCGCCAAGGGCTTAGTCATGGATGAGGTAACACGGCTTAAGTAAGATAGTTACTAAGGAGTGACTAAGCATGAGGCTGAGAAGGCTAAAGGTTAAAGTTAAGTAAAAGTTGACGACGAGATAGATACTAAGTAGGAGATACTTAAAAGACAAGAGATAAAAGACAAGTAGAGATATGATGTTGGAACAAGTGAGACGACGGCTGATGATGACAGAGAAAAAGGACATAAGACGGCCTTGCGCTTGGTTTTCCCTTCCTGCTCCACTCCCGGTTTTCCTCCCTCCAGGCCCAGCAAAGTTGAAAGTACTAAAACACGAACACAGACAAAAAGACAACAGGACGAACTGAACTGAACTCGAACTCGAACAGGTAGAGGGGTCAAAACGAACATTAGAAAACGTAGTAGTAGGAGAGATGCAGACTGGATAAGTTTATCAAAGAAAAGCAAGGAAAAGAAAGGAAAACGAGACAAGGGGAAAAAAAAGAAAAGACAAAAGACAAGCAGAATGAATACAGTGAAGAAACGAAGATGAGAAGAGATAGAATGTCATCATCATCCCCTCGTCAGAGTCAGTCAAGTAGAGATAGAGGGTCAATCAGTAGATAGAGGGTTAATCAGTCATGTAGAGAGAGAGAGAGCTACGCCTCGGCCTTGGTCTGGCTGTCGCGGTCGCCACGATCTCTCTCCCGTTCTCGGTCCCTGTCCCTGTCCCGCTGGGAGCCCTGGCCGTCTCGGTCTCGCTCCCTCTCACGGTCACGGCCAGTCACACTCCCGCTTCCGTTGACGCTGCCGGGACTGCCGCCCTTGCCCACCATGGCAGAAGGCTTCTTGCTGCCCGTATCGTCGTCCCCTTCATCGTCGTAGTCTTCGTCAACGTCCATTTTGCGGGCGGGCGGCTCAAGCGGGCCCTGGGACGAGACTGAGACAGGAGGCAGAGCAGAGTGGTCCTTGCGATCCCGCTGGTCCCGGGCGTCATGGTCTCGGTCTCTCTCCCTCTGCTCTCGCTCTCGCTCCCGCTCACGCTCTCGCTGTTCTCGCTCCCGTTCACGCTCTCGCTCGCGGTCCCGTTCTCTTTGTTCTCGCTCCCGCTCTCGTTCACGGTCACGGTCACGGTCCCGCTGTTCACGCTCTCGCTCCCTTTCACGCTCACGCTCTCTGTCACGATCACGCTCGTCCTTTGGGAGACCGGCGGACAGCGAAGGAAGAGACTGGGGTCCTCCCGATGGGCCGGTGGAAGCTTGGCCGGGGGTCTGAGGCTCGCTCTTGGGTCCGCCCCCCATGTGCTGGATTGGGGGTAAGGTTGGTGGGTGGTGAGCTGCGTCGGACGGATGGTATGGCTCATGGGCACGGCGAGCATGGTCACGGTCTTCGCGACGGGCTTCGGACGAGCTGCGTCGGCGGAGATCTCGCGGTGACGCCAGGCGTACGTTCAATCCTCCCATGCCCGATACCGGACCGGCGGGACCAGGGGAGCCACGGCGTGATGGCCCCTGTGGTGGGCCGGGTGGTGGTGGAGGGGGTCCTTGTCCCTGCACAGGGACCTGTCCGGGGCCTGGCTGATCTTCCATGCGAGTGTCGTGTCGTCCGTCAAGTCGACTGCGTGTCTCTTCATTCGCAATCTTCTTGACCGGTCCGGCCCCGGGGCCCGGCTCGGGCTCCCATTCTCGCACTCGCTTCATGCTCGACGCTGGTCGCTCGTCTCGTTCACGAGCGGCCGCTTCAGCCGCTGCGATGGCTGAGGCGGGTGCGGGGGCTCCCGAGGCGATGCCGCCGTTCTGCTGAACCCCTTGCTGGCCCGGTCCGCCGGGTCCAGGAACATGGTGGTATGGTGGCTGGTGTGGTGGTGCAAACGCTGGGCCGGGTCCCCCGGCATTGTTGGCACCGTTGCCTGGGCCAGTGCCGTTGGCGGAGGCAGGACGTTCCTCGCGGATGGGACGGATTTCAGTTGGGGGAGTGAACGGTCGGCCGTACTGTGAGGGCCCGACGCCGTTAGGACCTTGGCTGTTGGGACCGGGGCCACCGGGTCCGTGGCCAGGACCAGGTCCGAGGCCTTGTCGAGGCTGTGGGAAAGGGGGAGGACCTGGTGCTGGACCGTTGTTAGGACCTTCGTGCTGCTGTTGAGGCTGTTGTTGTTGCTGTTGCTGTTGTTGTTGCGGGGGAGCTAGCTGTGGGAGAACCTGGGTTCCAGTATAAGTATGCGTGTTGAACAAGGGGAATTTGGGAGAAGGGGAGGATTGGCCACCCTTGCGGGAGGAGGATATGGAATGATGGGGAGGCCGGTAGGGCGGGTGCGGTTCGTGGAACTGCTCCTGGCGTGGACTGGCCTGAACCCGAGGCTGGGAAGGAGGAGGTCCTCTTACGTTATCTCGTTGCTCAAACTGGCTGCCTGGTCCATGAGCGTTGCTGGCATTCTGCGGCTCTCCGCTTGGTCTGCCCCATTCCGCGATCCGGGCTGGCGGAGCGGGACCCTGAGGTGGCAGTCCGCCTGGTCCAGGGGCCGGAGCACCCCATTGAGGTCCAGGCGGAGCGCCGACGTTTTGCTGGTATGCTTGCGGATGCACGTCCTGCGGTGCCGGAGCGTTGCCTGCGTTGGCCCCGCCCGCCTGGCCGCTTTGGAGCAGCTGCAGTCTTGCTTTGATGTGGACATTGGTTGGGTCGAGGTCTGCAGCGCGGCCGTACGCATCCAGTGCATCGCTCGTTTGGTTGTTGCAGGACTCGTACTACATGCTGTTAATATGCGACAAAGACGACGATTCAAAATAGAGACAATAAAAATTGGAGCAAGGGATTTTTTTTAAAAAAAAGGGAGAGAGAGAGAGACGTACCAAGGTGCCTAGGTCGTACCAAACCTCTGAGATGTACGGGTTCAGGCGGATGGCGCGCGAATATGCATCCAATGCATCGCGGTACTGGTTGATCTGGTAATACAGGACTCCGATGGAGCACCAGAAGGTTGGGTTGCGCCCATCTCTGTATACCGCCTGCTGGTAAGCTTCATATGCCTTGGGATACTTGGCCTGGGACATATAGCATCGTCCAAGCAGGTACCAACTCTGAGCATCGCTGTTGTCTATACGCTTGTTAGCCTAGAGGTTATGTCTATGCAGTTATGTAGAGGCTAACTTACCAGCTGAAACAGACTTCTCAAGGTATTCGATGGCCTGTTCCTGGCTGCTGTAGTTGTTGTTCTGCTGATGGTAGAGCCATCCAAGCTGCTGGAGAACCTTTGCGTGGTTGGGCTCGCGCTCAAGCACACGTCTGTAAGCTGCCTTGGCTGCTTCAAACTGTAGAGATAGTCAGTATATATACACATACATATATATATAAGTCAACAACTCCATGGACTAGAAACGTACGTCTTTCTGCTGTTCATGAACATGGCCGATCTGGAACCAGATGTCTTCTTCCGTAAGCGGCCGAGGTGGGTCGTTGACGATGTATCTAAAACACTACCAAGAACAGTTGTGTAAGCCGAGAGCCCGCCAATTATGGGGCAGCGAATTGCACTTACGTCTAAACTCTGCCCGAACTTCTGCTGTTGCTTGTATATTATGCCGAGACGGAAGTAGATCTCGTTTGCCTTTTCAAAGTCTGGCTGCATGCGCATAACCTGGGAGAAGGCCTCTTCGGCGTGGTCAAGGGATCCGTACCGATCATACAGGATACCAATGCCATACCAGAGTTTGGGCTCCTTGGGGTCGCGAAGATGGTAAAGGGCCTGCTGGTAGGCCGTGTATGCTTCCTGCAGATTATCAAGCATGAGATAGCAGTGTCCTTGTCAACGTTGTTAGTTTATGTTTTTGAACCCTGTCTTTGTTTGGTTGTAGTTTGGGTTGAAAGGAAAGGTGAAACCTACCGAGTGAACCCCATGACTCGCCGGACTGGGGATCGAGCTTGAGAATGGCCTGCAGATACTCGATGGCCTTCTGGAACTGCTCACGGCTGCGCAGGAGGCAGGAGATGGCACTCATGGCAGGAATAGACCACTGGTTGTGTCGAATAGCCTGTTCAAAGGCATACATGGCACCATCAGGGTCATTCATCAACTCAGACAAAGTGCCTACAACGCGCGTTAGTCTAAGAACAAAAGAGTGAAAGTAGGAGTATTTCAAAAGACATACCAATCTGAAGCCAGACACCTTCGTTGAGCTGTGCGATCTTCTGTGAAATAGTAGGCGGCATCCCCTTTTGAGGCTGGCCAGGAGCTTGCTGCGGTGGACCAGGCGGACCAGGCTGCGGCTGAGGACCCTGCTGAGGACCCGGCGGCGGCTGTTGCTGCTGCTGGGCCTGCTGGGCCTGTTGCTGAGCGGCCTGTTGCTGAGCTGCTTGCTGGGCCTGAGCCTGAGCCTGCTGCTGCTGAGCCTGCTGCTGGGCCATGGAAGGGTGGCCGTTGACCTGCGGATGGTTTGCCAGGGCCGGATGGTGAGAGGGATGGGGGTGCATTGGGGGCGATGGCTGCGGATGAGACGCCATCGCGTGTCTCGCAGCCTCAAGGGGCGTTTTTAAGCAGTGTCTTTGACTGCTATCTTGCACTCTGCCAGGCAACCCAAGGACAAAATCAGAGGAGAAAAAACAAGTAAAATAAACACGGGGAAAGCTCTTTTTGGTCCTGTGTTCAACTGGTTAGCTGGCCTGCTGCAGAGCTGGCTTCGCAAACGAGAGCCAAACAGAACTGGGGAGCAGGGCAATTGAACGTACGGAGAGAGAGTGTGTGCCTGAGATTGCGGCGACGGTGACAGCGGCAGGAGAGGCTGTCACGGCGCCCGTCACGCAGAGGGAGCGACGGCGGAGGCGAGAAGAGATAAGAGGCTGGTCGGTGATGTTGGGACGAGAGGTCGAGGAGCGCGGGGCGCGAGGTGAAGCCGGCCTGGACACAGCAGACGGGCGTGGAGAGGGTGAAGCTGGGCAGAGGCAGAGGCAGAGGTGAGGCCGTGAAGTGAAGAGGAGAAGAAGGAGAGAGGGCGAAGGGTAAGAAGAGTGGGAGACGGGCTTGAAC